TGTACAACAGAATGAGACGCTGCCAGTCCTGCACCAGCCTCACAATTGTTGCTATACTTGAGCCCATCATTGCAGCCACTGTGTTAATCCACCTCATTGAGAGGCTTCCGTTCTTCTCCGACCTTCAGCTTTACCAAGCATGACATCCTTCTCCAGGGACTGGTCTCTTCTGACAACATGACCAAAGTAGGGAAGGTAAAGTCTGGCCATTCTTGCTTCCAAGGAGCATTCTGGTTGCACTTCTTCCAGGACAGATCTGTTAGTTCTTCTGGCAGTCCATGGTACCTTCAGTATTCCTCGCCAACACCACAACTAAAAGGCATCAACTCTTCTTCAGACTTTCTTATTCATTGTCCAGCTTTCACATGCATATGAGGCAACTGAAAACACCATGGCTTGGGTTAGGCACACCTTAGTCTTCAAAGAGATATCTTTGCTCTTCAGCACTTTAAAGAGGTCTTTTGCAGCAGCTTTACCCAGTGCAATACATCATCTGATTTCTTGACTGCTGCTTCCATTGGTGTTGATTGTGGATCCAAGTAATATGAAATCTTTGACAACTTCAATCTTTTCTCCATTTATTGTGTTGTTGCTTATTGGACCAGTTATGAGGATTTTTGCTTTCCTTATGTTGAGGTGTAATCCGTACTGCATACTGTAGTCTTTAATCTTCCTCAGTAAGTGCTTCAAGTCTTCTTCACTTTCAGCAAGCAGGGGTATATCATCTGCACATCACAGTTTGTTAATGAGTTTTGCTCCAATCCTGATGTCATGTTCTTCTTCATATAGTCCAGCCCTTTGTATTATTTCCTCAGCATACAGATTGAACAAGGACAGTAACAGGATACAGCCCTGATCACCACCCTTCCTGATTTTAAAGCATGCAGTATCCCTTGTTCTGTTCAAACAACTGTCACTTGGTCTACGTACAGGTTCCTCGTGAGCACAATTAAGTGTTCTGGAACTCCTATTCTTCAGAATATTATCCATAATTTGTAATGATCCACGCAGTTGAATGCCTTTGCATAGTCAATAAAACACAAGTAAACATCTTTCTGGTATTCTTTGCTTTCAGCCAAGATCCATCTGACAAGAGCAATGAGATCCCTCAGTCTATGTCCTCTTCTGAATCTGGCTTAAATTTCTGGCAGTTCCCTGTCAATATACTGCTGCAACTGTTTTTTAATTATCTTCAGCAAAATTTTATATGTGCAACAGTGTCTGGTAACAGATGTGTTCAGTTTCTATGCCTCTTCCTGTTAGAAGCCCAGAATAATTTCAGTAAGCTATGTGCCACGATCTAGTGTACAATCTTAGTCTAGTGCATGACTGACAAAATGGAGTAAGGTATGTCAAAGGATCATTATAGGGCAGTACCAGGCATACAGTAGTAAGCCCTCAACACATACTAGAAACTGTTGTCATTGCTTAAACAATTGTCTTGGGGAAAACCATGTTCATATTGAGCAAACCTGGCCTAATCATCCTGTCAGCCCGCTCTCACCAGAGACTTCCAAGTCTTCCTAGTACATGCTCTATGTCTCCCAGTTTTTCTCCCCCATGGCACTTAGCCCCGTGTAATGAAAGAAAGCATTGTGCAGTACATGTTTAGTATCTGTCTCCCAATAGCGTGCACACTCCATGACAAAAACTGAAACCAAACTCACTGCTGTCATATTGTATCTGACTCATAGCAACCCCTCCTTGGGTTTCCAAGGCAGTATCACTACAGAAGTAGATTGCCCCACCTTCCTTCCAAGGAGTGGCTGGTGGTTTGAACCTCCAGCCTTCTGGTTAGCAGTCCATGATAGCAAGAACCATATCTGCTTTGCTCATTGCTGAACCCTTACCACTTAACACAGTGCCTCTTCACTGAGTCAAATTTTGTTATTGTTGTTAATGAGCCTTATCAGTGTAGTGTGTGTCTTAACCCTAATCAATCTTTTTTAGTTTTAATTTTTATTGTAATTTGGGTGAAACTTTATAGAGCAAATTCATTTTCCACACAGCAATTCATACACATTTTGTTCCATGACATTGACTGCAATTCCCCACAATGTAAGAGCTCTCTTCCCACTTCCTCCCTGTAGATACCTCTTCCCTGTGCCCTTCTTTCCTACGCATTCCTGCTCCCTGAGCTATCCCCCTGTGTGAATACTGCCCCTCTGTTCTCCCATGATTGATCATTCTAGGGAGTGTATCTACCTGATATAAATGTTCATATAAGTAAACATATGCCTGTCTGTTGTTTGGCTGGAATTCACAGGAGTGAGTTCAATTCCAGACCTGAAGGGTAATTAGAGACCATAGTCTCAGGGATTCTCGCCAGGCTCTATCAGACCAGTAAACCTGGTCTTTTTGATGATTTGGAGTTTTGTTCCACATTGTTCTCCCACTCTACCCAGGATCTCCTGCACTGATCCCTTTCCATTTTTTCAGTAAATATTTGTTGAATGAATGAATGAGGGAGTGAAAAAATGAATGTGTAGATGAGTCAGTAACTCTTACTATGCACAGTGCCTAGTATTGTGCCTAATACACAAATAAATGTTTTTGGGACTAAATTGTTGATAACATCCATTATAATATTAAATCTCTGTGGACAACTGGTTACATTCTTAGTTACCCGTTAGAGAAAATGTTGCTTAATGATAACATCAGCAGAAGAACAAACTGTCCATCTCAGAGTCTTTCATTATTGTTCTTACCTTTCAAACAAAAACTATGAGACACATAACCGACCTCAAAATGACTCACTGAGTGGAACAGTCTTATCTTTTGACATTGTCATCATTTACTGGACTCCCATTTTTAAGGAACAAACAAAATTATCAGGGGAAAGAAACCTTACAGCTCTTTATAAATATGAATTGGTCTGCATTATCATTTCTTCTCTTTCAATGGTTATACATACATGTTAGCCTCATATTTTTAAAAAAGGATTTGGTGTATCTGCATAAAAAAGGAACAAAAACTAATGTCCTTGGAAATAAATGGTGAGATAGAATAATTATAGATGTTTGTTTCCATTAAGTATCTTTGGATCCTTGACAGCCTTTGAGTTTTTATCTGTGAAAAAGAAGACAGTCATTTTCTTAATTTATCTTCCTCAGTCGTCTTGAGGGAAATAATTCTTTTCTTGACTATATCCAATAGCAAAAACAAAGTGTGGTTAATTAGCCTCTTTCATTTGGCTTTCATATGGAGATTAGCAGTAATAACAGTTTGGAAAGTAAGTAAAGCCATACTGGAGCCAAAGGAAGGGTACAGAGAGTCCAAACCATTTAATAAAACTCTTGACAACCACTTACATCCACCTCTGTGCCCCACCCCCGTCCCTTCCCCTGTATCCTCTGACCTGAATAATCACTGTACTGAATCTTTGGTTGATCATTTCCTTTTTTTTTTTTTCGTCTAAAATACAGTTTTATCACATAGACATGAATTCCTAAAAATGTACTATTTTGAAGGTTTTCATTTATAAAACAGAATCATGCTGCATATAATTTTCTGGGATTGACCTTTTTTAAATAGGTAATGTGTTACTAAAAGTTATCCATATCATTTCCTGTCGTCGTGATTCACATGTTCCACACTATTCCAACAAGGGGCTCTGGAGGCGCAGAAGTTAAAGCACTCAGCTGCTAAATAAAAGGTCAGCTATTCGAGCCCACCAGCTGCTCCAAGGGAGAAAGATGAAGCAGTCTGCTTCCATAAAGACTGACAACCTTGGATACCCTACGGGGCCGTTCTACTCTGCCCTATAGGGTTGCTACGAGTCGAAATCGACTCAATGGCAGTGGAAATATTCCAACTGTGTGAATATAGTTGTTCCTTGGTATCTTGGGGGGACTGGTTCCAGGAAACCCCCGTCCCCTGCAGACACTAACATCCATGGATGCTCAAGTCCTTTATATAAAATGGTGTAGTATTTGCATATAATCTGCACATATCCTCCCATTCACTTGAAATCATCTCTGGACTACTAATAATCCCTAAGACAATGTAAAGGTGGGTAAATGGCACTTTACACTGCCCCCTAGCCTTTGCAGGATGGCTTTAACTTAATTGCTTTTTTCCAAATATTTATATTCCATCTGCAGTTGGTTGAATCTGGGGATGTGGAACCTGGGATATGGAGGACAGACTGTCTTCCATAATCTATCCATCCATTGTCTTGTCAATGGACATTTGGGTTGTTTATAGTTTTTGCTACTATGAACAGTGCCTCTAAGAATATTCTACTATATATCTCATGGTACGCTGTGAAGGAGTTCTTTGGGAATGTATTTAGGAGTAGAATTGCTGGTCTGAGAGGATGCAAATGTTCGATTTCACTAGATGATACCAAAGTACTTTCCAAAATGGTTGTATCAGTGTACAGATTATACAGATATTATACAAATAATGTATAAGTGATCTTACTGATGCATACCTTCTCCAACACTTAGTGTTATCAGACTTTTTAATTCGATAACTGAGGTTAGCCATTACAAGTTCTTGCTACTATTTTAGTTTCATGCAGCACAGTGTGTTCACCTGGTGTTACTATATTATTAAAAAAATAAACAGAATAAAAGTTAAAGGGGGCCATACATGACCAATGATGAGAGTATGTTATAAAGCAAAGATTGTGATCAATCCAATTCTGTGCACTTAAGATCCAGAGACATTGAGGGATAGGGAACTTTAGTACAGACCTCAAAGACTGCTTTTAAGAAGTATCTTAAAGGCAAGGGCAGAAGGCCTTGAGATACAATATTCCCCTACAACATTGTTCACAGCCCATTCCTCTCCTTTCCGGATTCATCTCACCTACTCAGAGATGTAGCAGATCTGAAGGTAATCATAGCTGAGAATGTCTTTGAGTTCGTTGAAGCAGAGATGGCAAAAACTCACCACATCTTTGTCATCAGGCCTGATGGTAAACAATACCAGGTGTGGTGGTGACTTCTCAAGACCAGTATGGAAAATTCATCTGAGAATGTATTTTTTCCTAGGATATGGCATTGGTCTCCCACCCAACTCTCTGCTGACCTCCAATATATCTGATCTGATCAGTCAATACAAGTCACATGGGTTCATGGATGTACTACATGACAAGTGGTACAAGGTGGTTCCCTGTGGCAAGAGAAGTTTCGCCGTCACTGAGGTAAGAAGCTGGTGCTGGGAATGGTGACATTTTGTGTTGCTTTACCTTGAAGAATATGAGGAAATGCTCTTCTTACCTGCGTTTCATGGTCAACAATCCAGGCTATTACATTCACCAGGCTTTTCCATGATATTTGGGTTACTCCTAACTTCCTAACTTCATCTGAAGAGTGTCTGTTCCTATAGGAATTTCCAGTCAGAAACATTTATCTTCAATTTAAATGTGAAGCTATTTTGATAAGTCAATGTTTAAATTTTTACTTTTCCTCTATATCCTATAGCGACAAGTACAGAAGAAATACTATTCTGAATTAAAGCAATAATATGTCTGAGATTGACACCAACAGGGTTTGGTTTAACCATTTATTGCTGGCCAGGATGTGGACTTCAGAGTATCCTTCAATATCTAATTCAGGCTTTGCTAACTTCCCATTGGTACTTGTCCAGTGGTAAGTCCTTTGTGGGTTTAGAAAAATAGATATACTCTGGTCAACAACTCTTAGATTACAGAATCACAGGTTCGTTTGTTTGTTGGGAGAACTCAAAACAGTAACTTCTCTTTGTTTTATGGATGGGAAACTAATACCCAGAGATACAAAGTGGTTTTCCCAAAGCACACAGATAGTCAGAGTCTACCATTCTCTTTTGTGGCATGCTGCCTTTATGATATAATTAGAAAGAAATTCACAAAGTGAGCCAGAATTTGCATGATGAAGATAGTAGACTGAAAGTTGTTTTTAGAGACCTGGTCTCAAGTATTTAAAAAAGAAGCCAAATAAACCAGTACAAGATTAAAAACAGCAGCAACAATAAAAGCTGTAGCCACTGATGATGGCTTTAAATAGCATCCATTTGCCAACAAGCCCCAGATTTATATTTCTCCATAGGCTCTTCTTCTGAGCTCCCGAACCATATATCTGCTTTCCTCTCTGACAGCTCCACTTGAATGTCCTACAGGCATCCCAAATTTAACTTGTCAGGAACTAAATCCTTGATGTTCCCTCCTAAGCCAGCTTTTCCTTCTGTTTCCCGTCTCAGTAAATGGCACCTCTGTCCATTCAGTTACTTGTTCCAGAAACTGGCAGGGATCCTTCAGGCCTCCCACATCTCACTTTCTGCATCCATCAACAGCCAACTCTTATAAAATATGCTTCAAATATGCCCATCTGTGGCCATCTCCACTGTCATCAGTCTAGTGCAGGCCGTCAGCACTCACCTGGACCACAGCAAGAGCCTCCTGACAGTTCCGGTTTTCACTCCAGCCTCACTCCAGTCTGTCCTTCACATGGCAGATCATTCCTCTACTCGGAAGCCTGCAATGCCCTCTCATGGTATTTAGGGCAAAATCTGAAATGCAGGGCATGGCCTACAATGCTCTATGGGCCCGATCTGTTCACTGCTTCAGCCTCGTCTCATCTGGTTTGCCTCCTCACTCATTACAGCCTCACCATATGGCCATACTTCAGACAGAGATACACCTGTGGCTTTCCTGCTTTGAGGTCTCTGCACATGCTGTTGTCTCCTCCTCAGATGCCCTTCTCCCTGACGTTTGCCTGGCTAATACGTCCTCATTAAAAACTCCCTTCTGAAATCTCCCTTCCTCAGAGCCTCCCCATAGTCCCTGAACCAATCTGAATCATATCTCCCTGTTGTAATCTCACAGTTCACATTATTTCATAGACAGCATAATTTATAAACTTCACGACACATCTGATATGCACGTAATCAAATTTTTGTTTGTTTAATATATTTCTCCTTCGTAAGATTCTAAGAGCCCTGGAAGCAAACAGTTTGTTTATTATTGTATCCTCAATGCCTGGTATAGAGTAGACATTCAGTAAGTAATTGTGAAATAAATGAACCAGGACAACATATCTGAGAATGTTGGAGCAGAAGGTAAGAGCAGGGAGCAGGGATGAGATAGGTAGGTAATGAAAGAGAGAAAGATAATTTTGCTTAGTTGGATAACAGAAGAAGTGTGTTTTATCCCCCAAGCCAGAGATCAAAAATCTATAAAAGAAAAGTAAATAATTTCAGCTCAAAGCCAGAACAAGTTGGTCAATAGCTTGAGAATTAAATTTACCTAGGATCTTCATGGCAGCCATACCAAAAAGAAATAAAAGACATGTCAGAAGGTTTTCTAATCAAAAAAAAAAGGAAGTGGGACAGCCGTTAATATTAAACCCTATTTTTTATTAAATGACACTGAATACCAGAGTAGGCCATACTGCAAAATACAAAAGTGTTTCCCTCTGGCTGATTCTTCTGTCAGTCCTTATAAAAGTCAAGGGCCTGATGTCAGCTGAGACAATGGAACCATGAAATCCACGTCCTCTACTTCTCTGTGACTTATTCAGCCAACTTCAGTGAGCTTAGACCATCTGGCAGAATAAACCTGTTAACTGAACACCCACTGTGTGCCTGATGCTGTTCTAGATACTTCAGCTATGTCACTGAACAAAAAAGACAAAGATCCTTGTCTTCAAGGAGTTGCATTATAGCAGATACACACAGTAGGTGTAGATGCACACAGTAGGCATAATACAGAGGTGATCAGATAGTACGGGAGGAGGGAGAAACAGGACAAGACAATGGCAGTGGTCCTGGGAGGCTGCGGTGAGGTGGTGACGATGGCAGTGGTCAGGGAGGCTGCGGTGGGAGGTGGCCAGAATGATGGCAGTGGTCCTGGGAGGCTGCGGTGAGGTGGCCATTGAGCAGCAGTTTGAAGGAAGCAAAGAAGAAAATGGGAGATGAGGGAACTAGCATACTTTGTTTCCTGTCACGTGAAAGCACACTACTAGGGACTTTTACTCACTGGTTCTCATCACAACCTTATGAAACAGGTATTTTTATCTTTATTTGGAGGAATTTGCATGGCTTTTCCTCAAAAACAAAATTGGGCTAATACTTGTCAGCTGAATAAATTCAGCCCAGAAAGCAAACAAATTGCAGAGACTGCAAAGTAACAATCACTTGGTATTATCTACCGTTTGTTATGATGATGGCTGACCTAAGGCAAAAATCTCCTAGTGGTCAAACTTGACGGTAAGATGTTGCCATTGTTGTTGTTTGGTGCTGTCAGGTCATTTCCAACTCATAGCGAACCTATGTACAACAGAACAAAACACTGCCCGGTCCTCCACCATCCTGTCTTTGCATTGCTTGAGCCTGTCATCGCAGCCAGGAGCTCTGGTAGCATAGGGCCTAAAGCACCTAACTGCTAACCAGAAGGATGGCGGTTCAAACCCACCAGCCACTCCTCAGAAGGAAGATTGGGCAATCTACTTTCATAGTGATACTGCCTCAGAAACCCAAGGAGGTGTTGCTATGAGTCAGGTCCCACTCGACGGCACACAAGAACAACATCATTGCAGCCACTGTGTCAATCAACCCCATTGAGGGCC